AGAAAGAAGAAGGCAGAGCAAAGTCAGACGGAGATCACAAACAACCAAAGATACCGGGGAGGAAGCGAAAGCATTCAGACAAAAAGAACTGAAGCAAGAAAGAAATGGAAAAAAAAAGAAGGAACGTAAGAAAGAAAGAGAAAGCGAGAGAGAGAGAGAAGAAGCAAGGAAGAAAGCAAGAAGTAAGCAAGAAAGAAAGATCACTGCAAAACATAAATAGCTCCCGGGTTAAGAGAAAAAGGATCGGGAAGACATTTAGTGGGAAGCGGAAATCAATAAGGCAAGCGGTGAAGCTGGGAGGGAGTTCTAAGTGGATTAGATTGAGAGAATGTGTTCGATAGGTTATGGCTCTGAGAGAGAGGTAGCCAGACACCGCAGGCTCTATTGCATACTAATAAGGGAGCCAGAATGGAAGCTAAGCACAGGGTTGTGCAGTTCACTCTGAAGAGTTTTTCTATATGGCTCCGGAGTCAATGGTTAGGTTTTTCCCAGGGTTTTTTATTTTACATTCCCGCTGAATCTGCTCTGAAAGTACATGCTTAAAATTTATATCCGTGAATTGAAAGAGCCATCCCTGAGATAGTTTTTTCCTAATATCATCTCACTGGGAAAAAAAGTTCAAATTAAAAAGGAAGCTGAATAACTCAACTTAACCAAAAGAGAGAGAAGGAAAACAGTAGCGTCCTTAACGCTGTGTGCTTACAACAAGTTTTGTTTCACACTTCTGGCACAAACCCAGCAGCTATTTCTCTGGCCAAGAGCCTGGGCCTTGGGACAGCTGTCATGGTCGGAGTCTGGAGCGTGAGGGGAAAGCCGGGCAGTGGGAGAAGAAAAGAGACTGGGAGCGAGAAGGAGTGAGAGAGTCATTTGGCCGGGCTGTGTGCCGCAGGGGTGATTCCTGATGGCAGAGGAGGATAAGGGGATGCAGGGAGGGAGGGATAGATGTTGTGCTTAGTCACAGGCCTCCACTGTGACACAGAAGGTCAGGCCTCTGCCACTGGCCGCCTGACCAAAGCCTCCGAGGCAGCCGGGCGGAAAACAAGATGCAAACAGCGGGCAATGGCAAGTCTTGAAGATAGGGACCAGCCAGACTACGCAGCCTGAGGGATTGGAGAGGGGAGTGAGGATATGTGGGTGTGGGGTGGTGCATGGGGTCACTGGTGAATACTCCCCCTCACTTAGGCCAACAAACCAAGGGACCACCAGCCAGACCAGGAGTGACAGGGGAGAGGAGGAAAAACTGTTGCCAAGAGACCACCGGTGATACTGCGACTGCCGCGGTTTGACCCCGATTGAGGAGGTCAACTTATGCCTCCCTCCCCTGACCACCAACCCCCCCAGGCAAAAAAAAGTCCCTCTCCTCCACGTGCCCTGGACCCATGACGGCACGTTTGTTTCTCTGATCTGATTCGCTCAATTAAACTTCAGAGGACACCGGGCCACATCTCTTTGCAAAGGTCACGACCCCGGGGGCCAGAGGTTAAGTCAGGCACTCGTAAAACAGGGTCTCCATTAACGTGGCAGCATGTGCGCAGGGGTAATCCATCCATTTGCACAAACTATCATGACAGTGTGAAAAAAGAAAAAGTAGAAAGTTACGGAGGGGGGGCGGGGGGTGGGGGTCAAGTTAATGATGTTTTACGGCCGTGTTAACTTCCAGCACCAGAGTAATGGGAACACTGCTTGACCTTGATGTCTGCAGTCTGTCATTGGACAACCCTCTCTGTCACTGGTTATGAGGTAATCCACTTTCAACACCATCTACTACCACTACTTATTTTCTGAATTAATTTATAACTGAGGTTGTTTAAGACCATTTCCAAGATTCTTCCAAATGTGTTAACATGATTTTTATTTTTTTTTTCTCAGACTTATATTAATATTAATTGCACGCATGTGTAACAGGAACAGGACATTTAACTAAGCAGATCTGAGATCTTTCAGTAAGAACAATACCTACATTCCTTCATTTGTCGAGGAAATAGTGATGAGCAGCTAAAAGCCGATACGAAGGCGGCCCACAGAGCTCTGACATGTCCTAACATGACGACTACCTTCATGCCTTGTTAAAGCTATTCCATCAATCTGTCAAACTGGAAATGCAAAATATGAATCCAGGTGGGCAGAGGCAATGATTAAAACAATAAAAAAAGAAAAGAATTGCACCTCTTGTTTTATCCATTAAAGATACAATTGGTGTACAACGACAGTGTGTGTGTGTGGGTGTATATGTGTGTGTGTGAGAAGCCAGGGCCCTGTATTGAACACAGGCAGCCAGTTGGCACAATGGATGCCACAACCCCCACCCAGCCCCCAGCCTAATTCCCAGCGGGCATTCATCTGGGCATGCACATGGGTGCTACAGCCCTGCCTGGCTAAATGCGTCTGTGCCCCAGAACAAGGGGGCTGAGTGCCCTCTCTAAATTCACCCCTCGCACTCGCTGCCAACCCGCCGACCTTTCTCAGGCAGCAGCAGCCCACCAGGATCAGAGACAAACACACTCACTTTTTGATTTTTGCCACGAAAAAGAATTCTTTCTTGTTCTTTTTTTTCCGTCAATAAGGGCAGGAACATATTTTAAGTTATCTAATTACACAACACAGCAGAGGTGCCAGAGAGCAGAGAGAACAATATTGAAACCACGCTACAGAGCTATTTTTTTTTCTAGCACCTCGTACAAACAGCAGGTTCTGTTTCGGCCAGAGCTGTTTACCACTTTCTTTGTGTTCGATTGTGTGTTTGTTTGTTTCGTGCAGTTGCAGCAGAACAAAGGCAGCAGCTTCCATTCTGCCACTGTCTAAAAAACTTTCCAACGTGCCCACTGCATTGCGGATGCCAACCAACGAATCAAAGGCACGCTGCAAGCAGACAAAGAGGGTTTGATGCCAACCTCCAAACCTCTAACAACCATTACTGGTGAGTTGCCTGCCTCCCTGGCACGGTGCAAAACAAAATGGCGCCGTGCCGCACGCTACCACACAATATGGCTGCATTGTCTGGAGGTGGGCACTGCTTGGTAACTTGGAGAAAAGAGAAAGACGCTGTGGCTTGAAAAAAACGAAAAAAGTGACGGGGGAAAAAAAGCATCGCCGTTACTGCGATCCCAGTAAAAGAATGCTATTTTGAATTTGCCAGAGTTCCGGTGATAATCGCTCTGATGTGCAACGCGATGTTGAATGAGAACAGTATGTTCACCATCCATTTAAAACACTGAAATTAATCTTCTTGCCAATAATTTGCTCTCCCTCCAGAGCGGACACATTTTCCTAAAATAAAAGCTGGTGAAATATCGTCTGTAGCGTAAAATGGGAGCGCTAACTTACCGTCCAAATTGTGCATAAAATGAAAAAGAAAAAAAAACAGCAGCATGAGAAGCGTTCTCATGTTGGTGCTGAACAGTTCAAAAATGCAGCAGATGCAAACTAGAGAAGCGGTGGTGGCATCCGACAAAAGACACAAAAGAGGGTCTGATGCCAACCCCGGTGCCAGTGGCAACCATTATTGTCTCTGTGCTGTGCCTTCTGCTTTCCCTGGCACTTATCAAACACAAAATGGCGCTCGAGGTTTGATGACAATGAGCTAGCTATAGCACTGTCTCTCCTTCAATGGCAGAGCACTGGTGGTGGTTCAGTGTTGCTGCGACAGATTTTAACAGAGGGAGAATATGATTGGAGGGGGTTCCTTTGGTGACAAGAGATTAAGAGAGGAAGTTAAAAACTAAAGACATGACTGATATATTTATTTATATGATGCAACAACCCTGTTTCATAGGAAGCAAATATAATAATTTGGAATGAGTGGTTTAAGGGGCCTTTTATTCAGAAAAAATCTACCTCAACGTTTTTATGCTACAAAACCTGTGCAATATCTGTCCTTAATTATTTTTCCTCTTCTCCTTAATAACAGAATAAAAGTTGTGTTCTTGAAATCAGATAGTGACTGAAAATGTATATTTTCTAGGATAAAAAGAATTTCCTGTGACAGATTTTGGCTCTAATTGTCCGTGTTGGACGTCACCTCATGTGCTCAGGATATTCCACGACCTTATGAGTGTGCAGCTTTCTTATGGCTCCATGTCGAAGCCCAAAAAATATTTATGACAATTCAATTATGAAGAATAAAAGAAATTGTTTTAAAGCCATATTTTAGAAAAAAATACACACATGTCAAAAACTATTCCAGCACCAGGATTTTTTTTTTTTCAACCTTGAATTTCACACTATGCTGAAAAAAGGAGAATTCGGTTTTCACAAAGGCTAAAAGGAAAAGACAGGTTTCCATTTGCTCACATTACAAGCATATCTTTCATATATTATTTACTGCAAATATTAATGAAGGCTTAAAGGTCATTCACACTTTTAATGCTATGCTGGCATGACTTTCTCTCAGTAATCTGTTTGTTTGTAATTTAGGTAATACATGTAGTGTAAAGTACCTGTTTTAATGAAGGGAATCTGATTTTAAATTGTGTCCGATGACAACAGGAGAGATTTAAAATTACATCATGTTATATAATGGGCACTATGGGAATGGAGGCTATATTTTTTAACCCTGTAAGGACAGCTTCAAATTCTTTTTTTATAAATATGCTTTTTATATACATATAAAAAACAAAAATTACATAATGAGTTTTGAGTCTGGGCTGCAACTTTAAACGAATGTGAATGTGTGTGTGTGTGTGTGTGTGTGTGTGTGTGTGTGTGTGTTTGTCGACCACAACTGAATAATTACTGATCATGAGTAGGTGCTAGCAGAGCAGAGACACATTTAAAATATGTTGGTATAGATTACACGTTGGCTTTTAGTTTCATCATGACGAAGCAAATAAAAATGTACGCCGTATATTTACAGCTCTAAATGTCACAGTTGACGTTTCTTTTAAATATGTGTAGTGGTGATTTCAGGCTGCCAAAAAGTAACCTGTGACCCTTGACCTTGCAGAGGCTTCATTCACAAACACAGAGTGACACAAACTAAGACAGTGTGAGCTGGAACCTACCTTGGTCCTGGACATAGTATGCTAGAAACAAGTCCAGCTCCTTGACCGATACTGTTATGTGGTGTGGCTGGACACAAAGTGCTGGGTTGGTGCAATGTAGAGACTTGACTAGGCGCTCGCCGTCTGTACTTTCCAGAGGGATGCCTTTGAAGAGGATGACCATCACCAGGTCCAGACGCCAAACTTTGTCGGCCTGCCGCAAACAGTCAATCCGGCGGATCTTGCCCTTCTGGTCCGGGTTGGACAGCACGCAGCACGGGTGCTTCTTGCCCGTCACACTGAGGACAAAGTCCTCCCGGTACTCCTGCCGAATGTCCTTACGCAGCTTGGCCAGCAGCCTGGACGCCCACTTCTGCTTCACCTCGGCCTTCTCGCTCAGGAGCTCGTCCTTCACCGCACGCTCCTCGTCCTTGGACATCCGCTTCTCGTGCTTCTTGAAGTACTTGCGCTTTCTGGCCTGGAGGTTGAACCACGTGTAGGCGATGGCACGGACGTGAGGGAGAAGTGCCTCGATGAAGGGATGAAATTCATCCTGGAGCATCCAGAGGGAGAGGAGAGGGAAGAGAGAAGGAGAGAAATGTAATCAGAGACTCATGTCGTCAAACGTGAAGAAGAAATATGGGTTTAGTCAGCTACTAATCTGAGGCAGAGGGGAAGCCAGACCACAAATAAACAATTCCTCATCATGAGCCACAAAATGTCTTATTGGCAGTTTCAGCAGCTTGAAGTCCAGAAGTTTCTCTTCATACTGCAACAACTGATTTTACCATTCTGGATGCATCTGGATGTATCTGGACGTACTGCGGCTATGACAAGGAAATTCCACTGTTTATATCAACTGCCAGCACTACAATAGCACCGAGACCAGTGACTGAATGCACTCCAGTCTCCGTTCTCATTTCCCGAGCATGCTCTGAGCAGGACGCCCGTGCTGCTGCAGAGAGCGTGCGCCCCTCGCAGTGGCATTTCTCTTATCAAACTATTCACAGTCCAACGTGAACATATCACACTATTCACGAGGGATGGAGGAAAAGCAGCGAGGGCCAAGTGGGTTTGCAGTCACTTAAATAGGAGGTTAATGAGATTCCCATTCTCCGGGGCACATACAAAGAGCATCGTTGTACGCACGCCAAACTTACAAAAACTGTATTAAAAACACAAGCAGAGGAGCGAGGCAGAGTGAAAAGCAACCATGTGAAAGGTATTCCACAAAGGTTAAATTAGGATTCATTCTGAAGTTTGTGCCAAATCATCTCAAGCGTTAAGGTTAACAAACGGAATGACACTTGCCCAGCTTCATTCCAAAACCCTGAGGTCAGACAGTGATATTGAAAACCCTAGCCTACTTTTAAAATGCTTCCTCTTGCTTTTAATTAAATAAAAAGCTATTTTATGAAACGTATTCTCCTCATTGATTACCAGATATTCATATCAATGTTAGGGGAATATTTTCAGCCCTTTTTTATACAGGTTTTATGTGTATCAAGCCTCAGTACACTCTGTTCCACATAGACTTTAATTCTAAACTGATTTCTTTTTTGCAAATAGGAGTCAAAAGAGAAAACTTTCGCCTGCTCATTTGACAGAATTTGTGTTGATCCTTGGAGCTAAATGCAGACATTAATTTCCGCAACAAACCAGGACGTTCACTGGCCTACAGGCTGTGCACAACAATAAAACATCAGTAATTCTAAAACAAATCATAGTAATCTCTTAGAGATGTTCTCCGTAGGTGTAGGAATGTACAGGATCACGGAACGGATGATTTAGGAGTCGTCAGAAATTACAGCAGCTGCGAGAGGAGTCAAAAACGTTGACTTATCTTTGTTTTAGGTCGTTAAAATGTCAAATCTAATAAGTGTAAGCGGCCCCCTTTTCTGAGCAGGCTTTTGAAGAGTTAAACCACATATTGTTCTTTTTGTAGGCAGCCAGACAGGCAGGGGAAACCACAGAAATCCACTCCCTATCTGTGACCGCCGCTGGTGCTCCTCTGACAAGACACATTTCCAGCTCTGGACCGGTAGAGTTCTGCTCCCAACTACAAATGTTAAATCAAAATTTTAACAAAATAATTCCATTAACAGTTTTTTCCCCCTAATGTATTATATTTACGGTGTATGTTACCTATCCCCAATCTTTTAAGGAGGTTAAAAAAATTATTCAGAACTGCTTTTAAAGTCAGCTCTCAACTATAAAGTTAGCAATTAAACTGACAGAAGTGAGCTGTAAAAATGTGGTCTGCAGTCACAGTGACTTAAATCCTTTTCACTACTGGTTTCCTGGTCAAAAACACTTTAAATAATAAGTTTAATTTTTTTCTTCTTCTTTTCAACCAGTCTAAAGCCAAATGCTGTAAAGATAAATGACTTGGCCAGGGCCTACGCAGTGCACTTCAGCTGGGGCCATAAAAGCACAATCCTCTTAAGTACAAACTAAACCACATCTCAGTCAATCTCTTACTTATGCCAAGTAAAATATAAACAGTAAAACTGAGTCAGCCAAAACAGTCAGCTACTCTGGTCCAACCCCGCACCGAGCTTATCGTGCGTTTGATCTTCCTACAGTGGAAGTGGCTTTATCTGCCTCCAACTCTCACTTCCAAACTCAAAATATAGGGGTTCTACTCTAAATAAAAATATACACGTGGAGGGGAAAAAATACAAACACGGCTCAAGCAAAGCCGGGGAGTGTGCGTGAGGTTATTAGAGGACACAAATAACCTAAATAAATCAGAGAGATACCTGTGTTAATTATACAGGGTCGCTAAAACCCCAGAAAAATCACTTTTACGCACAACTTTACGCACGAAGAGAACGCAGGAACAGGGGGGAATCTTTTACTTTAAGGTGTCTATAGACGTGTGAAATATTTTTTCGTTTGGACTTTAAAAATAATAAAAGATCTCGACAGTGAAACCCACCACAAACATGAGCATTGTGGATTACAAAGATACGTTTTGGGAAGTTCCAGCGCTTAATTTTCGCGTAAAAGGCAAACCTTCATTTTTTTCTGAGTTATGAAAGTATTTCCCACGCAGAGGTGAAATCCTGACACACACACAAAACTTTCTATTACTCTATTTTAACACAAATGCGCAAGCCATTAAATGTACATGTAATAAAAATGAAAGACACAAATACCTGAGTGAGACAAATTGGAGAGTACATGACGAGACGGTTACACACAAAGTGAATGTACTACGACTGATTCCTCCGATCACTTTATCGCGCCATTCCTGGACCGACGTGCACCGTGCGAGACTGTGGAGGAGCAGCAGCTATCCGCGTGAAACCAAAAAGATTATCCACTGACATCCATGAAATGTTTTTTGCGATCCAAAGATTGTCGTCTCCGCTGAGAAAAAAAGCAGGAGATTGTTATATATTTTTTGACATGCACGGGGAGCTCTCTGGCAGTGGAGCCGGTGCAAGCGGAGCTGCTGCTGCGGCCGTGCGCACTCCTCGCTCCGGTACGCGCGGCTCGTCTTAACGGCGCAGCGGTGCCTCGTTCTTATAAAAGCATCACTTCAGCAGAGGGGGCGCAGGAGGAGAAGAGTGTGCGATGTTCACCCCTGTCTTCACCAAAACTTGATATGAAACCGTCCGGTTCGGCTCCTGCGCGATTCCAGCAAATCAGACCCAACTTTTTTTTCTCTCTCTCTCTCTACCTCTCTCTCTTTCCTTTTTTTTTCTTGCAGCCACGTAATTACACAGTCACACTCCTCCTCCTCCTCATCCTCCTCCTCTTGCTGCTCCTCATCCAAAACGCACAACTTTTAATCTAACCACCCAGCACCTTCCTGTCCTCCTCGGCACAATTCATTTACCACCACCACTCCTCCTCCTCCTCCCCCTCCTCAGACACACTCACTCACTCTTGCGGGGTAATGTCTAAAGAGCCTCGGGGACTTTGGACCGCACAGACGCGGAAAAGGGGAACGTTTCCCTGCGCAGATTTGGCACCGTGCGCCCCCCAACCCTGGAGCTGCCCTTCCAAATTCAGATAATTCAGGAGTGTGTGTGGTGCACAATCAAAAACAAACACACTCTTATTAGTTTGTCACTCACACACGGGCCAAGGAAACATGAATTTCCCTGAGAAGTGTCCTGCTTATAAAAATTAAACATTTTAATGCTTAAATGTCATTTGTCTTTATCAATAACATTTAAATAAATTAAAAGGAATAAAATGGAAGACACTTATAAGGATGAGGAACATGGCCTGAATGCTGAAAGGCGTCAAAGTTAAACATTGTTACTTTGTGATTGCAGCGTGTGTGTGTGTGTGTGTGTGTGTCTGTCTGTCTGTCTCTCTCTGTGTGTGTGTGTGTGTGTGTGTGTGTGTGTGTGTGTGTCTGTCAACAGTCCACATAAGAGTTAATTTGCCAAATTAAGGGGAATGGGATGTTAACACAGGCTGCAGTGCCAAGTTTAGTACAGTTTTTTTTTCTTTGGCCCAAACCGTGCCAAAAAAAAACCTCATGTTGTGATTCATGTAATAAAAAAGTTGAACACACTTCTCCACATTTGCCCCCGAATCGTCAAGTAGAAAGCACACAGAGCAGTCATCATCTCAACATGCTGGAAATACACAACAACAATCCACGTTCACGTACCATTGCACTGTACTGCATGGATTACTGTGGGGTCCTGGAGCCGGGTTGAAACACACAAGCCGGTAGCTTCACATATTCTCACGTTCAACTTTGTGCTTTGCAGGGTTTTCTCTTGCAGTGAAAAAAAAAAAAAAAAAAAAAGTCAAACACCGGAAGACAATTCTTGGCAGATAGCGGTGAAAAGAAGTTAGGAGCACCTCGGCTTTTTTTTTTCTCCCCCTCTCTCTTTTTTTCTTGTCTTCCTTCCTCTTCGGGTCTCACTTTTTTGGACCGCTCTTTTGGGGCTTGTTCAGCGGAGTTGAACGGGATCCAGAAGAGGCTGAGTTTTCGGCGCTGGGTTGATCTCCGCCTTCACTTTCACTGTCTGCCGGACTGCCGCCCCTCGGCTCGCTGCAGCTGCAGCCTCCATCAAGCAGCACGCTGCTCCCAGTCACCCACGTTCCGGTGGGGCTTTTCTAAATAAGAGCCTCTTTAACCCTGCCTGTGCGCAGTCTATGTCGCTGCGGAAAACCCGCTTGAGCTGCTCCAGACCTCCGGAGAACCTCCGCACTTTCTCCAGAGGGACCGTATCAGAATCAGAAAAGCTTTTATTGCCAAGTAACTTTACACATACATTGGGGGGAGGCAGTAGCTCAGTCCATAGCGACCTGGCTTGGTGGCCGGTTCAAGTCCAGCATGGAAGGAAGTTGGAGAGGTGCCAGTTCACCTCCTGGGCACTGCCGAGGTGCTTTTGAGCAAAGCACCGAGCCCCCCAATTGCTCCCCAGGCACCTTCATGGCTGCCCACTGTTCCGTGTGTGGTCACTGTGTGGATTGTGTTCCGTGTGTGCTCCGTTCACACGGATGGGTTAAATACAGAGGTCAAATGTCCCCATGTTTGCATGTTGCATGCTGTGTGTGGGACCATAAAGAGGAATCTTAATTTGTTTTGTTGTTGTTGGTGCATGTCAGACATCTCTAAATATAAGATAAAAAAAATCAAGTATTCAAATTTAACAATATAAATATAAAAATATATACACAGTATGTTCTTTTGAAGGTAAAAAAAAAAAGGAGAAGAGCAGTACAGTATAGCTGTTTTCAGACATGACCTGTGGCTAATATCCGGAGAATTGGCTGCGGAGTTTACCCAGAGTTTTGCTTTCACACCTGCACAACACAGGCAGAGCTTTTCTGCACACATGCGATCACTACAGCAACAAAACCTCTGCATTATTCAGGTGAGAGGTGGAGCAGCTGGGTGCAGCAGGCAGAGACAGGAAGTGATCCTCCTCAGGAGAGCGGACGTGTTGATGATGTTTGTAACAAGCCACAAAAGGAAAAGTGAACCAAAAAGAAATCAAATATCTACGGATGAAGAAATGGTTTTAAACACATAGAGGTCACGTCTGAAAACGGCTATAGCTAAATTGTTCTGGCCCAGATTTGGTTTACATCCCACATCCGTCCCACATACCACATGGAAAGATGGCACAGGGCTGTCCACTCCTGTTTGCCAGATCTGGGCCACAAGTGAGCCATAGCAATACCACATGTGAAGAAAGATTCACCCTTTACCACACCTGAGGTTTTCACCCATCTTGCCAAAAAAGGGGCCTCCAATCATGAAGAACTAGGGGCCTCTTATTTTGAAAACGCCTCAGCCTATTTCTCCGGGTCTAGCATCGAGCTGTTTCTCTGCAGCTTGACGCAGCACAGTTTTGTAATGGGGTTTGTATTCTGGCCTGTAATTGGCCAGCAGCGGTGGCCCCGGGACTCTGCACCCTGGGCCCCTCATTTCCGCTCCTCTGACGTGCTGTGGGGGGGCTTGACGGAGCTGGACAGTCAGTCAGTCAGTGGTGAATAGCGATGGAGCCACTGACTGATGCTACCAATCACAACACAGCTCTAATTCATTATTATTATTATGATTATTATGATGATGATTATTATTTTTTATTTTTTTATTTTTTTACTACCATTATTATCTGCAGACACAGTAGAAAGAAAAGGGGTGGCATTAATAATACATATGTCAATAAGTCAACATTTATATTTTAGTGTGGCTGCTAAATATGTTCATATTTCCACGTGTCCCATAATGTTTGGTAACACGTGGATTATTTGTGAGTAACTGCTGTGATTCTTAAATCCCTGATATCTATAGTAACCCTCTTAGATTTTTAGAGTCAAATTGTAGCAATACAATTTGCATTGAAAGCACAGATATAGCTGCTAGTGTAAACTAATAGGAATGATGGTATGATGTACGTCTCATTTCTATGGATACATAACATTTTTGAAGTTAAGGCAGAAAGCATCTTCCAGATTAAATGATTGGGAGGGTGAAAGTTAAAATCAGTGATTGCAGCAAAGGTAAACAGTGTTAATAGTAAAAGTATATTGTATGGTACTAATGGTGCCAGGGCAGTGGACTGATGGGATTTTTAAATGGAGGGGGGGGCGACCTTGACTGATGAGATGCTGTATGGCAGCAGCTGTAGGAAATGTGATTGAATGTTTCATCTAACAACAGAAAATTTCCGTCCTCCCTTTCATCACTGTGATGGTGACATTAACACACTGTTCCCGCAATATCTAAACATGTCACTGTGGTCATGTGGGTCCATGTATCTGCATCAAGCGCAGCCATCAGCAGTTATGATTCGATGCTGGGAATAATTAAGCTAAGAGCCTTCAGTCCGAAATGATTATAAAATGCTAATCAATAATCATCTGAAGGAAAAGTTCAGGCCTGGTCTTCAGTCTTTGTGTGGCATCGTTGAGGCAAAGCTATTTGCAGGGTCGAGAATAAATACATCTGACTAATAAACCTTTAAAAACCCTTATTCAGGCTCCTATACTTCACATTTCAATGGTTACATTTAGATTTTTTTTGTTCCACACTCACATTATCAAGTACTTTTCTAGTTTATGTGTCACTTCAGATTTCATCCATTTAAAATGAATTGTTGTTAGTGGTTGAGATGCTATAGAAAGGCTTGAATATTATCTCATGCACTGACTCTCCTCCTTTTAGACAAAAACTGGACGAGACCAGTCTAATGATGCACATGGCATGATTCATCCCTCTGAATATGGATCTACCGCCCCCACGTGGCTGCAAACAGAACTGCTAGTTGCTTATTTTGCAGCCACACAGTGAGGTCGTGCGCATGGCGAGGCTTAATGAAAAGACAGGTTTATCCTATGGAGATCAAAAATTCTTAATGTGGGAAAAACAGGTAGAATAACGACAAACCAGTCCATCATAAAAGTTCTGTCTTGTTAAAAATAAAAATGGAAACAACATTGAATGAAACCGTACTCAAATCATGTTGACTGCAAATACTCTTAATTACCACAATACTTTAGCTACAATACTCTGCCTGTAAATTTGCTTTTTGAATACAAAAGGACCTTGAATCAATAAATATGTAAAGTCAATAAAATAGTGAGAGTATAAGATTGGTGCTGTCATATTTAAGATTTAAGACAAGGCAGTGGCACAGGTAATTTAGTTATGACATTAAATTATAACCTTTAGTTATACTTAAGTCCAACATGTTAATGTGCCAAATTTTGCCCTGTAGACTAGTGTTCATCTGCAGACACATGTTTGAAAAAAAAAAGGAGTACATACACTTAGCAATTACTCACATGACACATGAAAACATGGACATGGCACAAAAGCATAAGGACACAGTGAGTTTATAGATGTGATGTTGCTTAGTTCTTTGACTGACTGTGCAAAGATACTTTTCCGATATGGTATCATACAACTCCAAGTATCAGTACGGTTGAAAATAAAGTTAATTAATCAGTATTAAAGACTGGATAGAGAATATAAGACTGCTGCTACCTGAGAGCAATGCCTCTGGAAAATGTACAATAACTTGTATGTACTTGTCACTGTGGCTTTTTCATTTGTATCCTCTCACTCAGAATGTATAAAGCATTACATTTGTTTTTTGGTTTGATTTACATTGAGTTTTTTTTCTATTTCATTTCTTCTCTCATTCTATATTTTTTCTGTCATTGCTGAGCTGACCCATTCTTCTCGTC